ACGAGACCATCATTTCGGCTATGAAATGTCGCAATACACTATTGTGGAATCTATGGGATGGGATACTAAAAAAAAAAGACGAAGCAGTGTTAAATTCAAATAAACTATAAACTAACACTTAACAATTAACATTAATCGTTTTTGTTATTTGAAAGATGTGTGTTGCTGGTGGATTTTTTATAGGTTCTTTTTAATTCATTTACATTTATTAAACGTATGATGACACTTGTCAATAATCTATTGACAAAGACTTATGTGTTGCCTTCTAAATAAAGGCAACAGTAGTATACCGCTGTTCAATAATCATAAATCGATTAAGCGAAAACAAATCCGGGTCACAAATTTTACCAAAACCGAGGGAAACACTTACAACTATAAGAGGAATTTTAAAACAACGAAACAACAGAAACACTGAACTGCTACAAAAAAAAACGCCAACATACATAGATACGGACTATGTCTTCTAAATAAATGGTCTGTGGTGTCATTTGAATGGTGTCATTTCTTTCTCTTGAATGGTTATGTATTTTTCAATATGGAAGATTTTCATCTATATAATTAACACAATATGTTATCATCAAGAAATTTTCTACTTCAACGATACCTTTTAAAGTTTTTGCTACAACTTTTCTGACTTCCAGGTGGTTAAAGTATTGAGCCAAATAAATTATAGCGAATCGTCCACGTGCAAGTTCTGTTTCTAAAGATAAATCTTGTCTTGAGATCGTCCACGTATCTTGGCCTTGTGTTTCCATTGCACCGTAAAAATATATATCATCATCGTTATTCGACATCTGGGCTCTGTTCTAATAAAAAGTTGAAACAGAAATTAAAGTTGGGTTTATTATGGTCTAGTTACACTCCTTATAATTTATTGTACATCTGGGCTCTGTTCTAATAAAAAGTTGAAACAGAAATTAAAGTTGGGTTTATTATGGTCTAGTTACACTCCTTATAATTTATTGTACATCTGGGCTCTGTTCTAATAAAAAGTTGAAACAGAAATTAAAGTTGGGTTTATTATGTTCTAGTTACACTCCTTATAATTTATTGTACATCTGGGCTCTGTTCTAATAAAAAGTTGAAACAGAAATTAAAGTTGGGTTTATTATGTTCTAGTTACACTCCTTATAATTTATTGTACATCTGGGCTCTGTTCTAATAAAAAGTTGAAACAGAAATTAAAGTTGGGTTTATTATGTTCTAGTTACACTCCTTATAGTTTATTGTACATCTGGGCTCTGTTCTAATAAAAAGTTGAAACAGAAATTAAAGTTGGGTTTATTATGTTCTAGTTACACTCCATATGATTTATTGTACATCTGGGCTCTGTTCTAATAAAAAGTTGAAACAGAAATTAAAGTTGGGTTTATTATGTTCTAGTTACACTCCATATAATTTATTGTACATCTGGGCTCTGTTCTAATAAAAAGTTGAAACAGAAATTAAAGTTGGGTTTATTATGTTCTAGTTACACTCCTTATAATTTATTGAACTTTAAAGTATTAGCCTTCATAATGGTTTTGAATTTAATTTTTTTTGTAAATTGTCATTCCTCATTCTTCTGATTTTCAATGTTTATTTTTATATCTAAAAATATTTAAATTTTTAGAAAGTCCAGAAATCTTTACTAAAATTCATAAATTATCCTCATATTCATTCCTCGGTATGTAAAACTTTACAATTTTCTTTTATGAAAATGCATTATTTCATTGAAACTATATTCAATAGCAAGTTGTATGGGCAATACAAGGAATATTTAACATCTTTTCGCTGTGTCATTTGATCATATTTATTATCTAATATTTATGAGTGACATTAAAGGCGGATCTACCTGTCTAGGAAATGGTAAAGAAGGTTAATGTAACTGACACAAAATTCAAAAACGCACCAAACAAATTCTATGCAAAGGAAAAGATCTTGTATTGTTGTATTTAATACATTTATTCTACATTCACTGCGATGATTAATGCAGAAATACTATTTTTTTTAAAATTTTGTGTTACTATGTTTTTTGATTAAAAACATAATGTAGTCTAAAAGACATATAAAATAAACGTTATAGAAAAATTAGACGAACGCATATTGAAACAAACACCATTGATATTTACGACCAGTCAATATACTAATGAAAAAAAAAGGGTATCGACCGCAAGTTGTTGTTTTTAGGGAATACTTTAAGTTGTTATCGGTTCTGTTCAATATTTCAGACTTTGTTTAGTATCTTATTATTATATTAAATATTATCGAAAGTTAAAAAGATCCACAACACATTATGTAAATTTTCGTACAAACAAATATACCGTTTATAAAACGTTTACAAACTGAACAATTTTTTTATATGTAGAGATTTCGATTTATTTACTTGTAGGCATTCCAACGAAATTTTAAAAAATTTAAAGAGAAATAGCAAAATAAAATGTGTTAATAAATAGCCATATGCATAAAAAAATACATGATATAAAAATAAGAAGATGAAAAGGGCTTAACTCACCAGATCGATACAAAGCTCATATAAGTCCTAACAAAAGCGGAAAAGACACAAAGTACAGATATGAGAGTACTTGCAGTTATTGAAAGCTAGTTCAAAGCCAATTACAACTAATAAAAGAATCGTGTGTCTTAGACTTAAATATCAACCAGTACACATCCAATATCCAATGGATTTAGTGGGAAGACGTCATAATGACTATTCCTTTACAGATGTTTTAAATATTACGTTGCACATTATTGCATCCATGGAACCGAATTGATATTCTTTTATCTAAATTCCTTGCAATTAAGTATTTTTTTTCATCTTTTAGAGAAGTACCCATATTATGCCTGAATCTATTACAATCGAAGTTTGGAGCCACCTGTTTGAACGTGTATTTTAAAATTTTACTAATTTTTTCAGAAATATGACCAAATAAATACCGGGTACCAAATAAATAGGCATCTGATGTTCCATGGAAGATTCAAATCAAGTGATCTATGTTTTGGTTCTTTTGCTTGCTTTTATATGGTATTTAAAGTCGTAACAAATTTTTAAGACATAATCAAAACACATAAAGCAGTTATACAGAGTTCAATGAACTGATTAGATTGTTCATAAAACGCGTCCTAGTGACAATTCCAAATTCGTTAATATTTTTTCTTAGGCCTTTTGAAATTCTTCATTTATTGGTATTTATTTTTTATCGTTCGCACGTTCACTCACACACAGATTTTTTCTATTGCATTCGTTCACTTGACTAAAAAGTTTATTCAAATTAACGATTAAGTAATATAAAAATTTTCTAAAACAGACCCCCTCCTTAGCAAACAACAATAGTTCTATTAATTAACTATAACCATAGTGGCATTCATTTTTTGATGTATGTGTTACTGATAGCAGTTTACTTAACTCTCCCATAAAGTATATTTACATTTCCACTGGCTGTTTCATGTACTCTGATGGTATTTCTAATAGTTCGTATGCCAGCAGTAACTCTTTGTTTAGCAGGTTGTAATCTTCCGGTTCTCCAAAGAAACATGAATACAGCAACAACAATAAATAGTACTAAACATAAACCTGAAATGATATTAAAACAATAAGTAAGAATATCACAAGATTAATCTAGCTTCCAAAAGATTTTTCTCAGCCTAAATTGTAAACTAAAGTCTTGTAGATAGATACATTTTGTATATATATATATATATATATATATATATATATATAGGTCATTTAAACGATTAAAAGAAAACCCAAACTGAATTGAAGTCAAGTATTGTAATCGTGCGAAGTATATTCAAATTGACGATGCAATTCATTTCTGCACCGACAATTTATCTGTTTTTCTCTTCCCTTTTGAAACAAATGATCATTTTCAAGAAATTTAGAATTATACAATTAATTTAAAAAAAATATATGCCCTCCACAACAGATGAATAGTCGGTGCCTTAAACATTGAAAAATCATGATGCACAAGTATTTCTTCGCCGATTAGGGCGTCCTGTTTGGTGATACATGAAAATATTTGTTTTGCTCTTCAAGTCATTGGACTCTTCGTGTTTACAACATTTGATTCGAGCAAATCTGACTAGAAAATAATTTGTCAATGCGCATATATAAATAAAAGGAAAACATTTTATAAATTTCGTACGTCCGGAGCAATTTTTCGGATTTACCTTCAACAGGAAAACTCAAACTTAAATATTTGAAAGCCGTGAATGTATAAAATACATAGGAGGTATTTGACCAAAAGGGACGTGAAATACTGGCCAAATTCTTAAAGGTCAACCTTGCCTGCGGGAGCTGGATTCTTAGTTTTACTAATAATTTCATAATCTATCAACGGGGGATTTTAAAATAGTATGTTCCCAGCAAACACACAACATTTTAAAAACATTTTTTAAATGTCATATGGACGTCTCTCACAAAATATTTCAATAAGATATCATTTAAACATAAAAAAAATGTTTATTTTATTGTTTTTGAAATGTTTTATTTCTAGCATTTAAGTAAAATGTTTTTACAACATTAACAAAATATAATTTGCTAATATCTTTCATTCATGTTCTCAAACATTGTTCTGAAATATCCCGTAAATATTTTATAATATAAAAAAATAATATTTTCTTCAATTGGTATTTTATATTTTAACAACATTTAAAGTAAATATTTTCCAAATATCCAAAAAACATTCTGCAAAAAAATGTTTTACAGAAAATATAGTTTTGCTATTTTCATAAAATGTTTTATAACGTAAAATTAAAATGTTTTACATAAAACATCTGAAAAATATCAGCTAAATGTTTTCTATAAAATATTCTGACATATACATTACTTAATAATCTTACTGATATTTTATTCAACATTTTACGGATATAAAAATAACATTTTATTTAAACTTTATTCAAAACCCCACAAACAACGTTTTGTGGAATTAGCTCGTTTTTTTTCAGGATATGATATAGTACTACATTTCATCAATATCATGACAAGCAAGATACTATGGTTAAAATCCTTAATTGATATCTTGAAGATCCTTGAAGTCAGATTTTATTCCTTCTTATATTAAAATTCAAAAGAGTCAACATTAAATTAAGCAATAATGTATTAATAAACAATCACCTTTCTTTAATGTTTATTCATTTCGTTCGTGTATATTTTAGAAATTAAGAAATGAAAACTGTAACTGTACTAAGTTCAATTTTCGTATCGTTTATATGCCTTACGGAAAACCGACCTTTTCCGGAATCGACTTTTGTTTTATCACCGGAAATGATTTTGAAATTTGAATTTCGAAACGAAGACAGGATATCAACAAAGAGAGCCAAGAAAATTGTTTGTTACGCGATATATAGTCACTTGGTAAGAATGATTAATCTGTTAAGATGAAACTTGTGCATTCATTGTGTGTGTTCAATCATAATCGGAACCAAATTACATCTGTTTCTGGAGGTGCGGATCAAGGTTTTGAAAAAAGGGGGGCCCCTGCCCAAGGCAAGCAAACGTTTGGAGTGATACTTGTAAATAGTCTATACATTTATCTTATAAGTAGCTCCATCAAGCATCTACGTACACCAATTATGTATTTGTTCATTGATATAAAAAAATTATAAAGATATGTGGCTTGTGTGTTTGATTGCCAATACACCTTATTGCTATTTGTCCGCCATTACTGGCCATGGACATCACAAAAGTTCCCGTAAAATGTTGACATCATATATGAAAATATTTGACACCACAATTGAAAGTAATACACCTTATTGCTATTTGTCCACCATTACTGGACATCACACAACTGTCACAAGTTCCCTTTAAATTTTGACGTCATCATAAAAAATATCTGATGCCACAATGGAAAAGTGATTGTTGTTTGACGTCAAAAGTTCAAGCAGGATAGATTCTCGGGTCAAGCAGGAATAGCGATAAGGTGTATTATTGTATGACGTATGCTGACGTAAAAAGTTCAAGCGGGACAGATTTCCAAATACTGAAATAGCGATAAGGTGTATGAGACAGTTATCCACCAGAATTTAAATGACTTGGATAAAAGAAATTATAGGTCACTGTACGGCTTTCAAAACTGAGAAAACCAATGCCATATAGTCCACTTTGAAGCCTTGACAAACAAATGTTAAATTTTTCTCAACACAATTGAAACAAAACAACTAACTGCCTACATTAAATACACATTATGAAAAAGAAATTTGACAGACTTAAACCAACAACAACTATTGCAGTAAGCATGACTCAATACCTTGTTTCCGAGGCACACAAACAAGTTACAATAACACTAATATAAGCACCATTTGAATATGGAGATTTTTTTTTCTAGTAAAATCAGTGTATGTATGTATTTGCAAAACAGTAAATTAAATTTCCCTTAACAGCTTAATGAACATTACAAAGACTATGTAAGACTTCAGTACAAGCAAGATAATATAAACTGTTGCTTAAAATTATATTTATTGCTTCATACACATAATGTACATACAATGTATCTTTTATTTTTTAACAGGAGCTAAAAGAAAAGCCACAAAGGACAAGTTCAATATGCAGGTTTACAATTTGGAAGTGGCGCAGGTTCTTTGGAATGTCTACAACCTTTCAGTAGAATTTTTTTTTGAAGTAAGATTTTTATACAGAATTACTGTTATTCCATATTTAATTCAAATATTTAGCATAAACAATGCATTACATTCAAGATTAAGGGCATGTATACAATACAGAAAAGATATCTGGACATTTGAATAAATTATTTTTTTTGTGACAAAATAGAAACAAGTTGTTTATTTAAATCAATCTTTTAGTCCAACAGTGTGCCTTCATAAACAACATATTTGCTTTCCTTTGAAGTATTTCAAATACATATAAACAACTCATTTAATGACATCTGTGTGTTTCTCGGAAGTTAAGTTATATTATTATCATCATTGCGAAAACAATGCGTAACACTTCGATAAGTTATTATGTGCCTATAGTATACTTCTAGGACTGTATCATATGCCCTTAGATACAAATGACAAGTTATAAACTATGTCACTCTACAGAGTTTATCACTCAAAACATGCAAAAAGGACAATAAGATGTTTAATGACATTACGTAGCAGGGCTTTTAAAGGCCCCTACATTATATACAATGCATTTAATGAAAACTAAAAAAAACAAGAAAAACAACAGCCTGATTTATACAAAACAATAAAAGAAAAAAATTATGATAGACAACAATCAACGAGTATAATGAAATAAGACTCTTGACTGGACACATATCTAGTCTAAAGTTTTTTATGTGTTTTTTTTTTAATAACTAAATGAAGTTCAGCGTGGCATATTGCTCTCTCTTAACACAGTCAGCCATTTATCGTCCCCTTCCGACAGACTATCATCGTTATTTGTTTCAAAACTTTAAAGGGGAGGGGATGTATATCCTTCAGGCAACGTGAATCGTTCTATAATAAAGGAATGTGCAAGAAGTTTATATATGAATGTAAGATTCATTTTTTTTTCAGAAGCATGGCACAGCAAGAAAAAGATATAAGACACTACAAGACATTCCAAGTGATTTTGAATAAGACAATTGATTGACTTTTTCAATGTATTCTTAAATAAATCAAATAGTTGATGTAAAATGGTGTTTTGTTCTCATCTCTTCAGCCAATTATCAATGATTATTGACTTAAGATGTAACCCTATTAGAAGTGTAGCGTTTTAGTTTAGAAAGAGAAGTTGTATTGAAAAATCTGAATTTGGGACACAAGTTTTAGTCAATGTAACTTGAACTTAAAAATGTGTATAATGTTTGCATAATGTCCAATGGCATATATGTCATGCATGTTCAGGTTGACATATGCATGATGTGTATAAGATAGGTAATAAAAGTTGAGAGTGAAAAACTAAACATTATACCATTGTGGTTGGAATAATGGGCTTTCTTGCACTGTCTGTCGTCTGTTCACCTATATTTGTCGGATTTTGTCCAACAAATATTTTCATCACTGTTTTTCCCAAAACTGCTGATAAAGATGAGTTCATATTTAATGAGCTGCTTGATAGTGATGAACTGTAATGTGTGAACATTTTTGTATCTGGCACCTGTTTCCTGTTTGCTTATACATTATATTTCAAAATGTTGAATGTTCTCACATTTTTCATTACTTTAATTAGTAATGCTGATGAACAGAATGACTTCATATTTGGTAAGTGGCTTGACCATGATGAGTTGTGTCTGCCATTTTGGATGTGTCAAAATTTGTAGATACTTCTTGTTTTTAGAGACTTTGAATTGTGAATTTCATATGCTTAGCAAAACAACTGATTTATTCTTGTTTGTATATAGAATTAATCACTTTGTATAAATTAATTTAACTAATGATTTGTTATTTAAAAAAGCAGGAAACTCAATCAAAAGTACAGAAATTTTTATATTGATATGATCTTGATATCAACCAAAAACATCTTCTTAAAACATTTTGAAAACATTTTTTAGGCACAATCTCACTTGCAAGAAAACATCCAAAAAACATTTTTATAACATTATTTGATGTTCATGATGTTTTTCAAACGTTCAGAAAATATTTCTAGAAAATATTTTTTAAAAGATTATCAAAATGTTTTATACGCCATTGTTTTTCACATTATCATGATATTTCTTTACAACATTTTAATTATATTATGCAAATATTTTAGAAAATTTATTAGAAAACGTTTTAGCGATATATATTCTACCATACATTTAATGTTTTTCTCACGTTTTTTGTGATATTTTCATGACATTAGACACAACATTTTAAAAACATTTTAAAGATGTTTTTGTGTTTGCTGGGTTATAAGTCATATACGGTTCTTATATGGTATCATATTTAATTGGGTATCTTGAAATATTGTATTACAAAATCTTCCTTGGTTGTCATTATGTTGGTGCATGCCCAATGTTTCCTTTTGTTGTATCATTGACAAGACGATTTAATCTCACCTAGATTGGTAAAGTAGTTTTGCATTTGATATATTAAATCGATAAAAAAAAATGCTAAGCTATTATCTAATATTCATATATGGATATGTTCCTTTAAATTCTATACCCGAAATGAGTATTCCAAAAGCAACAGTAAAACAACTGATTTCAACTGCATCTCTTCTAAAATACCTTTTGACATATGATCTACAGTTTGCATCGTGAAATGACATTTGTATAAAAAGATTGAATTTTATCAAAGCTTTCATTATTAGAAACCACCGAAATTTTTTTTAATTACTCGAAAATGTTGTGACTTATTGTAAAAGAGAGGCGAAAGATACCAAAGGGACATTCAAACTCATAAGTCGAAAATAAACTGACAACGCCATGAAAAAAAAAAAAGACCAACAGACAAACAATAGTACACAAAACACAACATAGAAAACTAAAGACTGAGCAATTTAAGACTGTAATATGTCTTAATTTCAATAACTTAGTGACAAGCCTAAAAACAAAAACATTTTGAAGAAATACATACAGGTTCATAAATTTGAAGCTTGAATGATGCATCGCCAGCGTTGTTATTTGTTCTAAGTATGTAGATTTTCTTTTGTTCTTTTGATATTTTTTTTACAATCAATCCGCAGTCTGTCGCGACTGAGGTTTTCCTATTTGACAATAAAAAACACTTGTCATAGTCTAGTCAATTTGGTGAAGAACCTGCAACTAATTGCAACACAACGTTTTTCTCTGAAAAACAAGTCTGTTACTTTCTATAAACAACATACTAAAAATCTTAGATTTTAGATCTAAATTGACTAGGCTATCAATAGATATTTGACACTATCGGAGATTGACATGGCAAATACTCTTACTTGCAACTATTGCAATGAAAATGTTCTTGGACAGTCCTGCTATTACATTCACATGGGTTTCAGTATACACAGGAGCCATTTCCGACACTAAAATTGTAAAACAAAAGAAATATACATATGTAATAGTAGAATCTGTGACATTGATTAAATCAAAATTTACTCAGATATACTGGAATTATAGCTTGACGAAAGTGTCCTAAGACAAGTCATATGTTTTGTCGTAAGGTGAAAATTAAGACATTACATCATACTAGCTTATCGTAGTGTTTCATAAAACATAGTTACGTTCTTTTCCAGATTTTGATAATACAATTTCACACGGAAAACTCAATACAAAAATGTGCAACAAAAAGACGATTTTGCGTTCACTTTTGTTAATTTTCCTTTTTTTAACGGTTTTGTTCCTTTGACTCATTTTACAGTGTGTATGTTTCTCCAACTCGTTTGCTATTCACGTGTCTGTAGTTACGTTTTAGATTGCAATGAACGTCATCTATGTATAACTGGAAAATTATTAATAACCTTATAGGTACCTGTTTTACTGCACAGATGCACATTTCGACAATTAATGCATATTCAGTGATACTCGAGACCAAACTATTTGAAAGTTCAACCCTAGTACAAACGTTGAAGAGCTAATAAAACCAAAAAGGACTAATCATTTAAACCGCTTGTAATCTTCAGGATATTTATTTTCACAATTTGCTGATAAACACGTATTTCTATCTAGTCATTTACTAATATGGTCCTACAACTTGTCGTTACTTATATGTTTGCACTGCATAAGGTGATGAGTTTCTCAGATTGCTTTTTAAAAGACGTTTTTACATCAAATCTCTTCGAGTAGTACTCAGTGACAAATTAATCTTGGAGAACACAGATAATCCGTTAGTTGAAATAAGGGTTATTCGATACACAACCCTTTTGTTTTATGTATGCATGTGCTTGATGAAAAAACGACTCTTGTCATCAGCTCAAAATTCTTTACAGCTTCTATCATGCAGATATTCAAGGTTATCAATGGTTTTGCGAATGCTATCCTTAAACTAAAGAATACTTCTAGTATATAAATGTAGAAAAAACTAAATCATACAAAACATCATGTCGACGTGATGAATGAGTATGAAAGAGGCTCACAAGAGTATTTTTTATGGTCCGCTAAAGTCAAAATAAAACCTAACACATGTTATGATGATGCAGGCCACAGATGTGACAGTTTATGTTTCAAAATCAATCATATCAAAAGATACATGTATAAAATTTGCATACACTACGATTATAAGTACCAATTGTGAATTTAAATATACAATACTTTCATTACAATCTGAACCAATGAGCATATTATGTAATAAGTGAAAAGACAAATGTCATCAATTATTAAAATTGAAATTTTTGAAAAGTCAATCAATTTAGAGTTATCTCCCCTTGACTATAAATTTGTTAATAATAGTGTAACATCTCAACTTTTGGGAGCAGATACCGCCTCTTTTCGTCACCTTTAAATCAACAAATAAAGAAACTCTTTTCAAGGTGGAAGAAGGGGAAGGAGGAGGGGATTAAAATATTTTATGAAATTGAGTGTCACCAAATTTCTGTACGTGTTCTTCCTTCGGCAGCTATTTGAAAAAGAGGCTGCATATTAAAACATGTGCTTGAAGTAGCGCCCCCATATCAATTACAAAATTCCAATGAGTTTTAAGTCAGATAAGCACCTATGTACTGTACAAAACTATTTCCTACGTATTTCTAAAATTTACAAAACATGATATCAAAAGACTTAATACAACTAAAAGTTACACTCTTTCATTGTACCATAAAGTCACTTATGCTGCACATAAGTGTATATATCGGCATCTTTTATCTCGCCCGTGTGGTTGGCTGCAAAGTTTGATACGTTCAAAGAAAGCAGAATGGGCAAGGTCGTTTATATTTCGATGTTAATAAAGGCAACAGTAGTAATATAGCTGTTCAATAGTCATAAATCGATTAAGCGAAAACAAATCCGGGTTACTAAAACTTCCCTAGTTTTAACTCTTTATTGTTGAGAATAATATTATGTTCCTAATATGCGGACAGTATAGAAATTATGTGTTTAAATATGAAGCTTTTTCGATCCCACGGTGCATCAATCACAAGTTCACAACAATGATAGTACATGTACATTTAGATTAAATTCCTTATAATTGTCACAACACGCATGGGATAACACATCGTTCTCATATTTTATAATGTGAATTTTCATCTGTATTGGCTGGCCGTTGTTATCCTACAGACAACATTTATTAACAAAACCAAAAAAAACTAGAAATTATTGCGGTCATTAAAACTTTTATCAGGAAAATTAAAGAGGTTCATAGATTGTAAAAACGTTTATGTACATTCAAAATGAAATTTCGGATGTGCAAAATCAAAATACAGACATTTTTATATCATTTTCTGAATTAAAAGGCACCAAAGGTACTTCACGGGTTTAGGGCTCTGAAATAAAATCGTAATATCTTTTTTACCTTGCTCAATTGTTGTTTTCAACATGTCATTTTCGCCATTCTAATATGTGTATGGAATGAAACTTGTTATAAGACTAAAATAAAAGATTGCGTAATACAATCTGATTGAAACACTACACCGTCTTTAGATCTACAGCTTCAACATTTCACGTTCTGTTAATACTTACAATTCACTTCACACAAGCCTCCACTATATCCCTCTTCGCATACACATTTGTCAGGTTCAGAACAAGTTCCGTTGTTCTTACATTCAGGATTACAGATAGCTACAGTTAGATAGACATAATCTTACA